AATTTGTTCCAAATTAAATAGATTACTCAACTTTAAATTCAGCATTTTCTGTAAATCTTATTAAATGTACATATTCACAATGCTTATTAACAACTAATTATTTTTATTTAATAAATTATTTTGGAAATAATTCAGAACCTTCATTTCCTTGATTTATAGTAATATCTTTTGATTTAGTGAACTATTTACTTACACTATTAATTTGATAAAGATACATCAAATTCCCATTTATAGGTTAAAATGTAAATAGATTATTGTTGATAAAGCATAATCGATATCCTATAGAATCAACTTGTATTTTTTGTTTTACAATCCATTTTTTATTAGTTTCTGATTACTCTATTACTAATATCAATCCATCATATCCACAAGATATAACTTGATTTTATTATTCATTTAAACTTAATTGATTGACATAACTACTATGATCTGTAATAGATTATTAAAAAATCCATTGATTCTTTTTAACCCAAAACTTAATAGTCTTATCATCACTACTGGATATAAATAGATCTTCATTATTATTTAAAATGATGCATCTAATCCAATTACTATGACCATTGATAGTTTATGTACAAATCCATCAATTATTTTAATATGATAAAATAATTTTTTTCCATGGATCAATAATATATTACCAAATCAAAATAAGTCTTTAATCTCCAGAAATCAATTAATTTTATTATTTCATAAAAATTAAAGTGAACACATTATTTTTATGTTAATTTAAAACTTGATTTAATTTCAACATTCCTTATTGGAATTCATAAATTTTAATTAGTTTATTACAACCAGCCGCTACAATTGAACAATCTTTATTAATAGCAACTGCCCAACAATATTCTTATTATTTAATAGAATTAGCTTCAATTATTTAATAAGAAAATGCTTTAACATTCACTTATGATAGACATTTCATTTCATTTTGTTATTAGATTAATAATTATGATTATTATGAATTTATTAACAATTATTAATTTTTTTGTTCTTGTTATGATTAAATTTAAACTTGATCTTTGATTTTATATTTGATTAATGATTTTACTTCTTCAACAATATTTGATATATATTCTGATTAATCCATTAAATGGAAATAATCAACTTTTGGTAATTTTATATCTGATTTTGTATTATTAATCTTAGAAATTGGAGAATCTATAATGAATACTTAATCTATGAAATTTATGATCTTATCAAATGATGACTAAAATATTCTAATAATAAGCTTATACATCTAATTGCATTTCTATTTCTTACAATTGCTATTCTAATTTTCTACTTACTACTTAATCACTTGACATTCTTTATAATTTGATTAAATTTTATTAAAATAAATATTTTTTATATTAAATTTAAACAATTCAAATGATTATAATATTTTTGAATTTTTTTTAAGGTTTATCCCTAGAAATAACCAAATTGGAGAAAACCAATCATATTGAATGAGATATTTTTGAAAAAAGCTTACATACTACCAAATTTATCGTATAGATGATTAAAAGAAAGATTATACTTCAAAATAAGTAGAATTCAAAGCATGAACTTTCCTCAATTATGACAAATTTACTAGATTTTATTAAATTTTAAAACCAGCTATTGTTGATATATAAATATTTTATATTGATTCAAGGATATCCCTTGTTTTATTGTTAATATTCAACTAAAACTACAACTATCACTTTACTACCTATAAGTATTACTTTTAGTCAAAGATTTTTATAATAATTTATGCACATTTTTAATAATAATACTAGATATACACTTGCTATTCTTTTAGAATATGAAAGAAAAAAATTATACTTAAACTAAATCTATCAAAATTATACTATAATACTTATTAAAATACTATTTATTTAAAGCTAAGTAATTTTTAAATATAAAGATAAAAAATAATGATCTCTGCATTTGATAATTAAATTTTTTTAATTATTTTATAGTTTAATAATACAGAATTATAACATAATTGTTTTCTGAGCATATTTATTTATATTTAAGATAAAAGTAGATTCGAAAAAAACTCTATTCTTTAAATATTATTGGTAAGAACTGAAATACATCTAAGAATAGATGAAACTTGATTCCTTGAAAAATTTGAATCATGATTTGCTCTTAGTCTGATTCTTATTCATTATGCATTAAATAGTCTTGGAGCTATTCTATCATAATTTTTTTTATATATCAAATTTATGAGCCTTATATTTTATATTGTATAGAATAGTTATTCTGTAAATATTCACAAACTTTCTCAAATAGGTATTCATATAAATCTCTTAGGAATATTATAATGATTTTTTCAGCAATCATAACACTTTTTTTTACATAAAAACCAAGTACACTTATGCTAAATTATTAAATTCGAATATAACATAATCACTTATTCTCAAGAGTACCATGTAACTTTATAATTAATTTACTCACTATTCAAATTCAAGATAATCCTTAAAACCACAGAACCATGTTTAGTAACAAGATTAAAGGACTAATGTAAATTATGCTAAGTTTTGTTGATACTCATATTTAAAATTGACTTCTATTTTTGATTATTTCCCCTCTTGCCCTTAAATTTTCTTTCTTTTTTTCTCCTTAATAGATGAAGTTTATTATTAAACCTCAAAGGTCTTAGTATAAGCGATCACCTCTTGCAACTAGGCTAATGTCAAGGTAGAAATATTAATTTGATCCCTTAACCATGTAGACAATAAAGATTCCATAACAATATCTTTTCAAAGAAGATCACCCTTATAAAGGGTTGAAAAATTAATTAACTCTTACCAGCATTCATAAATCTACTTATTCTAAGAATCTTATTATCATAAATCAGGGTATTAGAAATAATTGAGGAAAATTCTCCAACTTCATCAATGATAAATGATCGTTATGGCTCTTAGGAGGAGGTAACTTTGAACTATTAATCCTGTTCGATTTACATGGGTTAATCAATTTACATAGGAATTATTCTTGTAAAAGTATCTCCGTACTATTAGAAGATATCAACTAATCAATCGACCACTATTGAAAGTTTAATTAATTTTGGATGACCTCCTTCTACCTGGAGTAATTGAATAACAGTCTTTATTCTCCGCAATCATCCTCTAGTTAGGTTCTACGACCTCAGCCTTCTATTCTAACCAATCAAATGGATTGATTCCATTAACACTTATTTATTCAAATTCAAGAATTCATGCATTCTTTTACATTCTAATAATTTTCCCGTCCATCAAATATTTGATATTGTTTTATTCAATAAATATAATTTTAAATAATTATAATAAAAATTGATTTATAAATTTAAATATTATCACGGATAGTCTTAGTATAGAGTAATTTTACTGCATATATGGCTTTTTAAGTCTTCTTCATATTGAATATGATTTATATTTAAACTAAAGAACTGAGAGGAGTAAATAGAAGGCATTACATATTTTGTATTATCAATTTAATAACTATCCTTTTTGAATTGATAGATCCTTACATGGAACAATTATAAATATAGATAGTTCTAAAATTTAGTTTAATTATTGATTAAGAATAAAGAAAATTCTTTAAGTATATATTATGAGATTATGTTATAAAAGATTATGTTAAGAGAATTAAAAGGTTTAGGATTTGCAAATATTGAGAAGGATGGGTTCTGCAAAAAAAAAATTCTTGATAGATTGACCTTATTAAAGTTATTTAATTTCTGAAATTATAGATAATAAATTTATAAAATATTGGAATGTATCTGAAAAAGAATTATTCTAAATATAGCATTCATTTTGGAGGTTATATCTTTAAAAACCTTATTGCAATTTTAATCCCAAATTATCCATCAGGTTAGAAGCCATCAATAAATTTTTATCTTATTTAAATTGTATTATTAGGGAGAATACTTGAAATATAAATAACATCCCTCATAAAACAATGCTTATGTAAATTTTAATATTATATAAATTTTTGAGAAAAAATTATTCCCTAAAATAGAGAATCAATAATTAAAATACGGTAAAGATAATAATATTGAGTTTTTTTGATGTTTAATGATTGGGATTATCAGGATGAGAACCAATATCATATTGAAAAAACCATACTGCAATAGAATCTAATCTAAATATCCAAAGAGTATTATTTTTAGTCCTAAGTATTATCTATTAACTTCATAAATGAGATTTCATCATATATAAGAATAAAATGTTAAAAGTTCTTGTTCAACCTCAATTTATGTGTTTCACAATATCTTGAATGTTAGATATTTTAATTCTTAGGTTCTATGTCTCATTAGGTTAACATCTCAAACCATTAATTAGAAAGTCTTTTAGATAAGAGAAAACTCTCTTATTTATAATTCTAACGTCATGATTTAACAGCAAAATTATGATAATAACAACCTATAGGTTTAGCATTTATTTTTTCAACTTCTAAAGCTCCGATTAGCCTTATTCAATGAGAGTACTGAGCTGATTAATCTTCTACTAAAGACAATAATTTTCAATCATTTCACCAATAGACTGATAAACAATTTTTTTATTTTTTAGAAAATCTTATTTAATTGAATTTTTTCCAAAAAGTAATATTTTTTGTCCTTGTATCTTTTTTATAAGGCAGAATTATTTGTATTATATTAAAATAAAAATTAGACTAGAATGTTAGAGTACATTAAGGAGCTTGCTAAAAGTTTTGTGATTAAGAATAGTAATATGATAGTGCTTATCAGAAGCTTTCTAATATGTTTATAAAGCTATAAATTGTTGGATTCCTTCCATGCAATGAAATTCATTATGATGTTCGTTTATACGCTTCGGGAAAATAATATATAAAATGGAAGGATAGTATATCCCTAGTGAGAAGAAAACACTTTTGACTTTTTGAAATGAGTTTATTCTTATTTGATTGCAGAAATTTAGAAAGTTTCCTTATTTTTTTATTTTTTCTTTCATTGTACCTGGCTTTATTCTGAGTAGAACCTCTAATTTCCAAACCATTCTTTAGTGCCATTTAAAGTACCTAATAAGACGAAGAATTAAAACTTGTTAAGTGTCCAAAATGGCTAATCTTATTATTAGCTCTTTTTCTAAACTTGCTGCCTTTGATAGAGTGCTAATAAGCTATTTATCATATATTTCTATATAATATCAACAAATAGTATATAGAGATAGACTTATAAATAGACTTGAAGTGTTGAATAATTTAGAATTGATCAAATATCTTTAATGGTTGGGATAATACAATTATAATTACAATAAAGTTAATAAATAAATGGAATGCAAGTTGGAAGGAAGATTAATAATCTGAAGTTAGTGATATTAGAGAAAAAATAAAAATAATAATAACAACATTATACCTTAATTAGGGATAAAAAAATCTTGTTTTAAATACTGGAGGATATGTTACAAAACCATTATGTAAGGTATATTGGTCTCTATCTAATATTGAAGCCATTTATCAGCTTAATAAAATAAATTATCCTTATTCAAAGAGATAGAATAAGATATTCTAGAAATTATAAACAAATAGTTTTCAACCTAAATATGCTAAGTTTGCAGAATTAAATGAAATAGATCATCTTGTTCTGTCTCAAGAATTATTAAAAAATTATCTAACTTTTTAGCTATAAATGATAAAAAAATGATTTTAGTAACAAAATGAAAAATTTTTATTATATAAATGTAGATTAATGAGTTTAATTTTATTGAAAAAGTTAAAAAACAGTAAAATTATACATCTTGATTCAATTCATGAGAATGAATTTAAGATATTTTTGATATTTATGTTAAATTATCTAAGATATCTTATTTGTAATTAAATATTGAAATTTTTATAAAATGCTCCTAAATTAGTTTATATTAATCTTGTTTAATATTGAAGATTTCAATATTAAACAAATGAATGACTAAATGACAGAATATAAAATCTTTATTGATACTTTCGTATTTGAATATTACCTTAAAAAATAACATAACATGCAAAATAATATTAAATATCAATCAAGCTTTACACTATTATTGATTATAATTTTTAGTTTATAAAGAATGAAAATACTTTGAAAATTTCTATATAATCTCACTTATTCTCTTTGCATTAACACTAAATTAGTTGTTGGAATCATAAATTCAAGAATGCGATTTGAAGAGTCAAATTAATAATGTCTACTTTAAAATTAATTATTAAAAAGTCTCCAATAATTTTGAATATTTATAAACGTTCCATTGTTATTATTGTCCAATTATTAAATTATATTCTATAATTTAAAATATCTTAAATATTATTTTTCTTTGAAAATTATTCATAATAAAATTGTTTAAAAAAATGAGTAAATCAATGATTTTAGAAAATGCGAATTAGTTTTATTGTCAAAACAATCATAACTAATAGATAATGTTAGTTATTCTTGATCCGAATTTATAAAAAAATCAAAGATTCATATGTAATCTATGTTTGGAAAATTTTTATTCAAATTACCCCACTATTGGATTTTAGAAAATGACCTAAATAATAGAAAATTTATAAAAACTGAAAATGAAAGAATTGGAAAATCAAACTACAAAAACAATTAAATAATTAGAAGAGAGATGTATAAAAATTACATATGAAAGAAAGATGTAATTTAATAAATTTTTTGATTCTCTTATCAGAATAGCTGAAGATTGGAAAATAGATTTAGAATTATAAATAAAAGAATTTTAAAAATAAATTATATGATGAATTAGATGATTATATTAAAAAATAAAATAATAGGGAAAATGCAAATATAAAACTTATTAAGAATACAAGTCGATCTTGGATTAATAAATTATACAATAACTTAAATTAATATAATTAAAATGAAGAGAAGATTTATTTTAGAGAATTAAAGCAATAATTCATGTAAATTATAAAACAAGAAGATGAAATCAAATTCAATTTAATTGATTAATCTGTTAAATAAAGCATAAAATGTAATGCAATATCTTTTGATTCTTCTGGATAATATATGATAATAACTGAATATCAAAATATAAAAGTATGGACTTTCAAAAATGGAAAAATTAATTATTTATAGACTTTGTATGGACATTCTAAATGGATTTAATGTTTATTATATAGTAAGGAATAAAATTCCTTTATTTCAGGTGCAGGAGACAAAACAATTAGGTGTTGGAAAAATTAGACATCAACTTTTTGGATTAGTTCAAAACCTTATAAATAAAATAGTGTTTGGGTAATGTGTCTTCTAATGAATAAGAATGAAGATCTACTCTTTTCTGGAAGTAGTAATTATTCAATAAAAGTATGGAAGCTTGATTTTAATTAAAATGAATTAACATATCTTTATTCATTAAATAAACATAATGATTATGTAATTTCGATCAGTTTAAATTAATTAGAGAATTAACTAGTATCTTGTGAACAAAGAAGAATTAGATTATTATTTGGGAAAGAAAAGAAAAAAATACTTATGAATTTAAATATTTTGTTATACTTGATTAAATAATGATATAAATTTCATTATTTTTAATAAGCATTTGATATTTAATTGATTAAATGAATTAATATAAGAGATTTAATTCATCTATAAATAATCAATTAATAATTATGGGTTAAAGGTTAGTTTTATTAGTGAAAATTCAATTATTTGGATAACAGGTGATTAAGGAATTTTTTTGAATTAATTGAAGGCATATATAAAGAGAATTAAAATAAGACAATTCAATTAAAGAATAATGATTAAGATTATGATGAATATTTCTTTCCAATCATATTTAATAAATAGAGGAACTTAATATTAGTAAAGCATATTTATTTAATTAGAGATATTAATAATAGATACTTTAAAATAGTAAATTAATTGAATTGTAATACATCAGATATTTATGGGACAATAACAGATAATGGATAATATTTGGTTATTTGGGATTATAAAAATAATGGATATTCAAATTATGAATTATAAAATTAATGAAAATATTTTTTTTTTAATATTTTCAAATTGGAGAATATTTCATTATAGACGTATAATCTACTATAAATAAATGATAACATTGCCAAGAAAAAGAAAATAAATGATATTTTAAGTTCTTACATATAGAAATATCCATATGGCTAATCCAATAGTAGTCACACTTATATTTGTAGTTTTAATTTCTTTTTTAAAGATATAAGATTGAATCGAGTTAGTAGGTTTTAAATAAAAGCTTCCTATTTTGAAAATAACTCTATCCTGTTTTATTGTTAATGCTTTATTAATGGGATTCAGTTTCTTTCATCCGTCAATCTTTCTCTTTTACACTTTAATTTATGTAAGTTCTACCTTATTTTTTTAATTTGACATTAAATCAAAAGTATAAGATTATAATAGTTAGGCTTAGTATCTTCTTTTTTTCTTTGATCCTTCAAATTTTACCGAATCAAATTTAGAATTAACTAGAACTATATTTATTTTTATGATGTCTCCAACTGATGTTTAAAATCTTTCAAAAGGCCGTTTGTTTATTGATATAAATAAAGCAATCAATTATATTAACTTATAATGAATTTCTAAGAGTTCCTAAATTTTGAAAATGTTTATGTTGTAAAATAAAATTTCCTTATTTCTTAAGATTCTTTACTAAAATTATCAGAAAATATTTTTCAATAAGAACCGATTGATTACTGTTTTTATTGATTGCCTTCTTATTTTGATTATTTAATTCTTTGGAGGCTACAAAATAAATAGATCATGATCAGAACTTCTTTGCCAGGTATTTTCTATGAATATACTGATCTTGATTTCTCTATTTTTATTTATTCTTTAATTATTTTTATTGCACCTGCTTTATTAAAAACTATCATAAGTACATTTATATATAATATATATTGTTTTTGAAGGCGTTTATGATCCATTTAGAATTCAGAAATATAATATATAAGTATTTTTGTTTTAATTATAAAAGAATTAGATTTTTATTGCTAAATATTTTGAAATTTTTATAATAAAGATTATAATTTTAATTTTATTAACAAAAACATTGAGTTAAGCTTTTTTAAATTATATCATTTTATCCTCTTTACAATTTAATAATATGTTAGTTATATTATTTAAAATTTTAATTTCTTAAAAAACCATTATTAATTAGAGAATTTAAATTTATTGAAAAAATTAAGTTAAAATTCTTTGAATTCTGCTGAATTAATTTTATAAACCCATATTCATTTTATTCTTCCTTTTCCTTTTTTCGAGTGAACTTACTTAATACTCATTATAAATATATTATTATATATTACGCTAATATAATAACCATATTAATACTAATTGATCAAAATTATTAAAATGAAGGCATGTTCTATATGCAGAATAGTTGAATAAAAAAATAAATTTCATAGGAAAGTATACTTAATTTAAAGTTAGTTTGATAAAAAAGAATTCATATCATTTACTACATAGTAAATACTTTATATTATACAGTAAAGAAAATGAATCGATACTATTACTTAAATCGTTGTTTTCATTATTTTAGTTTGAAATTAATATAATATTTTTTCTATATCTTTTCTCACTTTTCTAGAAGATTTTTCAATTTGGATAATATGAGAATAGAATAATAATATTAATAATAAGATCGAATGAGTCAAAATTAAGGATTTGATAAAATGAGATTATTTCATTTGATAAAGATGATCTAAAAAATATTAATTTTTAAGACCTCCTTAATCTAAAAGGATAAACAACTTAAAAATTTCTGTAGATATAATTTTCAAATATCTATGAATACCTGGTTTGAACAAAATTTAAGTCAAAGACAAAATGTTCTTCTATTCAAAATTTATGGAAGAGCATATTTGAATAATAATGAAGATATTGCGAGATAGCTGCTGGTAACAAAGCAAGCTTCTAAGGAAATAAGAGGAAATTTAAATGTTGTATTTGATTATTATAATGTTTAAAAATTAAATAACCACATTTGAATGATATTAATTCAAATAAATGTTCAAGTGCAAAAAACAATTAATGAAAAGGTGGTTGATAAATAAATCTAAAATTTCATTATTTTAGATAGGTGATAAATTATAATAATTTTCAAGCATATTTTATAATGGAATTTAAAAAGTAAATAAAATTGTTTAAAATGATGTTCTTAATAATAAATAATTTTATGTAAGTATGAAATTGTATAAATATTTGGATAACTCAACAAAATTGAAAGAAATATTTTAATAACTTCTAAATACTTTAATAAAATAAGGAAAGTGTTGATTAATTCAATTTTTGATATTAAGTGTTCTAAATAAATAGACCAAAGAGTATTAAGTATCTTCTTGCATTCTTATTTGTAACTCAAGTTGATATAAATAATTTTTTGAACATTTCATTTCTATAGATGCCAAAATAATTTGTTATTGATGATTATATATTTTTTTGATCTTTTATTTCTTTTATTATTTATAAGTCGTAGAGTAAGACACAACTTTGAAGCCTTTTAATTTATGTGGAATCTAGAACTAAAAATTAATAGGAACAAAATAAATCCTATCATGTAAAAATACAATAAAATTACCAGTAATTTATTTCATAATAATTGATATTAATGAATTATATAATATATTTTGTATTCATTCATCAAGTAATCATTTCATTGTGAACTTATTTAAAATTAATCATTAATACTGCTAAAGGTTTCTAATAAATTATTAATTACAATTCATATGTTTTCTAAAAATCATTTATATTTTAATTAATTAAACAATTCTGTTAAAAAATAAATACCAATTAAAATAAAAAATGATAAAAACAGGAAGGTATGTTAAAAAGGTATTTATTATGATGCAAATATGCAGATCCTATATTATATTTAAAAAATGATGATTGTAAATTATTGAAGGTAATTTTGATTCTTTTCTAATAGGATAGCAAGTATTAAATTTTCAAAATAGACAACTATTTATAATAAAATGATAGATAAATAAATTACAGTATTAATTCAATCTATAAGATGAATAAAGTGTTGTTTGACTGATTCTAATTGTATGAGCATAAAGATTAATAATTTATTATAGGAAATAGTATTTCCAGATGTTCCTAAATTAAATACACTAATTATATTGAATGTAACAATTGGTTTAATAATTTTACTTTTGATAATCATGTTTATGGAAGCACATCATCATGATTTCATTTTGTTCATCTTCTCCAAATAATAATTTGTATGGCACTCATTAAGAGTGTTTTGCATGAAATCCTAAATGCACAGTTGTTTCTTCTTCTAGTACTGATAAATGTTAACCATAGAAGGCTGGTTGTTATTAGTTCATCAGAAAAAGCAATTTAAAAAAAAGATGATAAAGAAATAAAATGTATTAATAAGGATGAAGATATCATTTTTCAAATAAAGGATTCTTTCCATAATACCCTAGGATTATGATGAATTCACCTCTAAATTCACATATAATGATATTACAAAAAACTTGTTAAGATCTTTGATAATATTGCAATTATAACAATAAATAATAATTGTATATTGCTATATATTTACGGCATAAACTAATGCTGAATGCTTAGATATATAATTAGAAATGCAGGTTTTAAGTTCAATATATATTCTAGCTATTGTAATGGCAAACAAACATAATTTGATTAATTATGTTAATATTTATATGAATAAATGCCATCTTGCAAATACTTATGCAAAGAATAAACATTATAAACGAATTTTAATTTTTCATCTTCAGCAACTCTCTTAGAGAAAAGCAAGTAATGTTAAGACTATTCATCATATATAAGTAACTATTTATTATTGACTTCCTGTAATTCGTAATTAGTCTAGTGATTAATTTGGATATAATTTATAGATTAATACTTGAGAAGACAGAAAATGTGAGCATTAAGCCTTCAGTTAAGTAATTAAAAATGAATATGCTTTATGGATATATAATGTATTTATGATGGGAAACTTCATTAAACATTAGAAAATGTGATGATGTAAATCTGCAGAATAATGGTGGATGCAATACTACTTGTAAAATTACAAAGAATTGGATATACTAAAAAGAAAATAACATTCATTAACTTGACTTTATAAATATTTCTCACAAAAACACATTCAGAAATTCGAGAATTTTAATTATCTTTTTCTGAGCATGTGCGGTTTAACTTAAATGAGATCATGTAGAAAGTATATAAAATTTATTATAAACATGTATATTAATCTATTTTGCAGCATATAGTAAATTTAAGAGTATCTGTATAAAGAAAACAAAATATAATTTATTGTAAATTGTAATATTATAATTATTTTTTAACTATTTTTCATGAAACGTTCTTGTTAGGATATGTTTGCATATTGAATAATAGAGTAAATAGTGTTTTCATTTTAAATTCTAGATGATTTTTGTAATTAACTAATTCATTATCAATCAGATATTATATTCAGGATC